CATCTTCATGACGCGCACATTGACCTACCGTTTTGCCCGACGCGCGATAAGCCGCCCGGCAAGCGGGAGTATAAACTCCTCGCAACGCTTTACGATAAGAAGCGCTACGTAATACACTATCGTAATCTACAGCAGTGCACGCGCCACGGGCTACGCATAACAAAAATATATCGCATACTACAATTCACGCAGTCAGCGTGGCTTCAAAAATACATCGAACTCAACACACAGTTTAGAACACGAGCGAAAAACGATTTTGAAAAAAATTTATATAAATTGATGAATAATGCGGTATTTGGCAAGACGATGGAAAATGTGCGCAATCATGTGGATGTAAAATTATTAACAAAATGGGACGGACGGTACGGTGCGGAGGCAATGATCGCTAAACCAAATTTTCATAGTACTAGCATATTTTCGGAAAAATTAGTTGCCATAGAATTACGCAAACTCGAAGTTAAAATCTACAAACCAATCTACGTCGGCATGTGCATACTCGACGTATCAAAAGTATGTCTTTATGAATTTCACCACGAATACATGTCACCGCTCTATCGTGACAATTGTAGAGTAATGTACACCGACACGGATAGTTTAATATATCAAATTAAATGTCAAGATGTCTATGAAAATTTGAAACGCGATATCGCTCGATTCGATACCAGCGATTACGCCGCGAATAATGCGTACGGTATACCGCTCGCGAATAAAAAGGTGCCGGGTCTGATGAAAGATGAGAATAACGGCGCGATAATGACCGAATTCGTCGGGCTTAGAGCAAAAATGTATGCTTTGCGGGTGGATGGTAAAAAGGACACTAAAAAGGCAAAAGGTGTCAAAAGTAACGTCGTAGCGCGTAGTATAACATTCGACGATTATACGCGTTGCCTTAATGACGAAATTGAAATGACGCGTCAGCAGTCATGCATAAGATCGAAATTGCATAAAGTGTATACCATCAGCGAGACGAAAATTGCTCTAAGTCCTTACGATGACAAATGGTATGTCGTACCTGAGTCGACCGACACCTTGCCGTGGGGACATTATCGAATACCATTGTAAATAAATTATATTGTAAGGACGTATTAATGAGAATTATATATTTTTTGTTATATATTTCATATATTTCATATATGTTATACAATATATATTATGTCTTGCGATAATCCTCGAGTAGATATGTTACGGGATTAGTATGCTGCATTTTAACAATCTTAAACACCTCGGTTGTCCAATTTGGCGTGTATCCCTTCTCGAAAAGTTGTTTGTACTTGCTGACGCGTACCTGATCACCTACTTTGAACTTTGCCGGGCCCGCGATTTTTACACGATTGTACACGGTAGCCAAGAGTCTTTCGGCGATCGCGGGGGTAACGTCGGCGGGTCGCATACCAATCGTTCGATGCTTGCGTCCGTTGTAATCTGATACGAGTCGTGGCAGCATGTCGAACCACTTGTAAGTACCATTCAGCGTAAACATCTTCCACATGTCGTTCTTTAGCGTGCGATTGAATCGTTCGACGACCGACGCCTTCAATATCGAATATGTAGAATAGTGATTAATGTCATGTCTTCGCATAAGTCGTTGCACATCGGCGTTGTAAAATTCCTTTCCGTTATCGGTTTGCATGTTTTTCGGGCATCTCTTGCTATCCCGAATTATCTTGGCGATTGCGTCAGCTGTCTCGCTTCCTCCTTTACTCTTGAGTGGTACAGCCCACGCATACTTGCTCAACACATCGATGATGGTGAGTATGTAGTGGTAACCTCTGTTGAAACGGGAGTATGGACGCATCTCGACAATGTCGGCTTGCCACAAATCATCGTATCCTCGCACTATGACATGTCTTCGAGGGAAATTTTTTCTCGCTGACGCGTGCAACTCGTTTACCAACTGCCGTCTCTCCAAACTATGTTGCTCGTTGTTATTTTCACTATTCATTCTCGTTCTTTCGGGTTCTTTCGGGTTCGTGCCTCGTTGTTTCGGGTTTTTTCAGGTTCTTTTGCGTTCGTGCCTCGTTCTTTCGGGTTCGTGCCTCGTTGTTTCGGGTTTTTTTCGGGTTCTTTCGGGTTCGTGCCTTGTTCTTTCGGGTTCTTTTCGGGTTCGTTCTTTCGGGTTTTTTCGGGTTTTTCGTTGTTTCGGGTTCTTTCGGGTTCGTGCCTTGTTCTTTTGGGTTCTTTCGGGTTCGTTGTTTCGGGTTAAATTCTCGTTTTTTTCGGGTTCGCGCCTCGTTTTTCGGTTTTGCCTTGTTCTTTTGGGTTCTTTCGGGTTAAATTCTCGTTGTTTCGGGTTCTTTTCGGGTTCGTGCCTCGTTCTTTCGGGGTTAAATTCTCGTTGTTTCGGTGTTCTTTCGGGTTCTTTCGCGTTCGTTCACTCACGTCCTTGGCCCATTCGAAAATCGTTCCTGACTCGATCACAGCCTCGTCCCAAGTCGTTTCTGATACGTTCGTAGCCCGCCTTGGCCCGTTCGCAGCCGTCCCTGACCTGTTCGCAACCCTTACTGAGTTGTTGATAGCCTTTTATGTAACCTTTAAGGACTTGTTCGTAGCCTCGTTCGCAACCCTGTTTGACATGATCGTAACCTCGATCGTAGCGGTCGCGTTCACCACCGTTTCCAGGTCGTTCACTGCTGCTTCCGGGTCGTTCACTGCTGCTTCCAGGTCGGTCACTGATGCCACTCATTGTTGTTTGGTAGCACGTCGATCGTAACCACTCGAGAATCCCTTCTTCTAGACGTTTGTTTGATAGACGTTTCTGAGCCAACCGCTCATTAGATGTCTGAGGTAGTGTTTGGCGCACGCAGAAGCTCTTTTATCGCAGTTTCCAACGCTCGTACATCCTTCTCTAACGCAGCCAGCTTCTCATCTGACTCTTTCTGTTGGATCATCAATGTTTTAAAGCACTCTTCCAGGTACAATTTGTTGACGACATCGGTATCCGCCTCAGGTTGCGCTACACGGCGAATCTTGCGCGATCTCGCGTCATAATCTGTAGCGACGCGATGCAGAGCGTTTTTGCGCACGCATTTTCTAATCAATCTATACCATTGATCGTTTGTGCCAGGGGTTGCATCATTTCTCCTCTCGAATAATCCAAATTTATTGATAGACATTTTTTTCAATGCTTTGTAAAGTGTCACACGATGAACTGAATAGATTGTCGGGAACCTTGTTTAATTTATAATAATGCCCGCTTCCCGCAGTTCCTCGATAATCGACAAGATCTCGTTGTCATGCGCGTTGTTGCCAGCTTGGTGCGAAGCATCGAGCAATCGTAGGCGATCCACTAGCTCGTTGGGGTCGTCCCAGTGCACGTAATCAATCTTATTGTTGGTTAGCGTCATAGCGCGAGGCATTCCCATGCCAGATTTTGGGTCGTCCGATTCCACCCGCGTCAACGGTGCGATTATATATTTGTACTTGTCCCCCTTGCTACTCTTCACACGGCCTTGCACATCAAAATTGCGTTTATGCGCATTTGTCGCCAATAATATATGTTTGTATTTTTGCAAATCATCCTCCTGGTAATCAGGTCTTTTCTTGAAGATCAACTCGTACAATCCGGGCGTTCCAATATACCGCGTGTCGCCTATGATTATATTGTCATCTTTGTCAATCGCGAATCGCTTGTTTCCAATGCGCATTTCATTTTCGCCGAAGTAGACTCCGTATACATTATCAATTTCTTTCTTCTCATCAGCACCGAGGAGAGCGTCCATATACTTTTGTCCTAATGGCCCCCAATCCTTTCGCATCATTTGTCGACCTTCCGACGATCTTAACCAGTGTCGAAGGGATATTTCGGGCGGGTTACGCGTGGTTTCGAAAACATTTTCGTCTACGAGTGTTTTGGGTATCACAGGTTGTGCGTTTTTCGGTGTAAAGATTATCGGCAGTGAAGCGTCCAATGGCTTCGAAATATCATTATTTTCTTTTTTTCAATTCCTCCTCCTCCTCTTTATATCGCTTGATAGTTTTATGTTTTCTTTTTTTCGGTGTCTCCCCCTCATACTGTGTCTCGATCTTCACACCGTTGTCGTCGTCGTCGTCGGTGTTAGGCTCGTTTTTCACCAAAATCGTCGCGTTGTCGACAATCTTTTGTAGCGGCTCGATAATAGGTTTAAAGTGAGTCTTGACAGCGATATCATCATCGATCTTTCCGGTCTTCAGAGCGCGGTGTTTCTTGCGGATCGATTCAGCCGTCTTCGCAATCTCCATGGCAACCTTTTCACGCTCGCGAATATTATCAGCCATGTCGGCAGCACTCTCTAGAGTTTCTCTCGACTGGGAGGATTGTTGGTGACGACTAATGGCTCTGCGGTATCGCGAACTCGTTAAATCCTTTTCTGTATCGCCCGTTCGTGAGCGAGCTGTCCTTGTCTATCACTAGAAATCCATACTTTTGCTGCCAACAAGTACGACATAACTCACTGTGTTGACGCATGTTATAAATTTGTATAATCAATAGACTCTTATATTAATCGCTCGTATATCAACGGAAAGGTTCGATCGTTCGAACCGACACACGACAACATTATCGACCTTGTTCACCATCCCATGTGATAAGAGTCACGCTGTCACGTGTACATTTTATTTACTCCTATTCTTTCGTCGCTCCGATTCGCCGAAACAAACATCCGATCCCGAGAAAGAGGGGATTCCGTGACGAAAACTCGGAACGCTCCCGAAAACCGAGAATCAGATCTCTGCGAACCGTGCTATCGATCAGCTGCAAATACAAGTAAACATATATTCGTTGCTGTAATCACTTCCCTCTCGGAGCGAGCCTTCACGAGGCTGTATAAGCCACCAGTCGATCAACAATAAGTTGAATTAGAGCGACGCCGTCGCGCCTACTGATATCGACAACATTTTTTGGTCCTTCGAGCCGGATCGCTAACGAGAGAAGACGACAAGTCGTGAAGTACATCATCCAATTACATTTTGGCTGACTTTGATCACGACCTACGTTGTTTAACGCAGCAGCCGCCATTCCAATAATGGCTACCACCGCAGAGCTTTTGGAGCAACAGCTCGACCTTGTTAGATCGGTTGCAAATGCCGTATCTAATTTAAAAAACTCGGCCACGCCAAGATGACGTCCACCGTGGCTGCAAACCGGATGGAACGCGTCAAGGAATAGTTCCGGGAGATTCGCGTCAACAACGCCAAGCTGTTAGTCCTCGCCGAGGCCGCTACGAAGACCACGCATCGATACTTCACCGAGGAGCTGTATCAACAAGCCGAGGTCCAGATGGATGCTGCCCTTGACTACCTGGCCGAATTTGCCATACCTCCCATTGCCGCCCCGCACATCAACATCATGGACGCTTCGAACGCAAGTACCGATTATCATCATGGTCCGCGCCCGGTCTCGCGTTTACCGCGAATCGAATTACCGAAATTTGACGGCTCTTTCGAGCGATGGGAAACGTTCCGCGATAGATTTAAAGCAATGGTAATTGACGATCCGATTTTAACAAATGTAAAACGCCTGCATTACTTATGTTCAATCGTTACCGGAACGGCCAGCACTTCGCTGAGTCACTTAGCAGTCACCGATGCGAATTTCGAAGTCGCGTGGCAAATCTTATCGTCGCGCTTTGAAAATCAACGTCGAATCGTCAACTCCCATCTTCAAATTTTATTCTCGTTACCGTCGGCAACGCATGAAACCGCGAAAGAGTTGCAGACTCTGCGTGACACCACCAATACCACCGTACAAGCGCTGAAAAATCTAAAACGTCCCGTCGATACGTGGGACGATGTTCTCGTGTTTCTCGTTTCGCAAAAACTCGACAAAGCTTCGAGAAAAGCGTGGGAATTAAAAATGAGCGAATCGCAAAATTTACCGTCCTATTCTCAACTCGACAAATTTTTAGAGTCTCGCATTCGCGCGTTCGAAGTTATCGCCCCGACGAAAAACATCGAGTCAGCCGAGACTACCTCGTCAAAAATTAAATCGGCCAAATCCGTAGCATCACATACAACGGCCGTGAAGTTCGAATGCCCGGTCTGTAAGGGCCATCATCGTTTATTTCAATGTACACAATTTGCCGCTTATACGCCGGAGCGCCGTTTCGAATTTATTAAATCGAACCGCCGTTGTTATAATTGTTTCGCGGCAAACCATGCGTTAAAGGATTGCACCAACGAGCATCGTTGTCGAGAATGTAAGCAAAAGCATCACACTCTCCTTCACCTTGGAAACCACGCAAAGTTACCGTATGCTGAATCGTCACATTCAAAAGAAGAGACGAAAAAAGACCAAGACAAAAACGTTGTCGCTCTTACCCTAACACGTTCAATGCCAGCTATTCCCGCCGTTCTGCTCGCTACAGCGCGCGTCCGCGTACATTCCGCGCACGGTCGCTTCATTCCCGCTCGCGCGCTTATCGATCCAGGATCGGCTGTGACACTCATTACAGAGAATCTTGCGCAATTACTCCGTCTTCCTCGAGTAAAGCAAAATTTAAGCGTTACTGGCGTTGGTCAAACAAAAACTTCCGCACGCTACGCAGCAAATATCAAAATTAGTCCCGTCAAAAGTAACAATCCCGCGTATTTGACGACGGCTTTAATATTGTGTTCCCTCGCGGAATACGTGCCACCTCCCGTTGCGTCTCACACTAAGTGGACGCACCTCGACGCCCTCGAATTAGCCGATCCTGATTTCCTGAGTCCTACGCCAATCGATATAATAATTGGAGCCGATATGTATGGAAATATTCATCGCGACGGTTCACACAAGGGAACACCACACGAACCGTTCACGCAGAATACCGCGTTCGGCTGGATTCTCTCGGGTCCTACCGTCGAAACCTGCCCCCGCAATTCCGTACCCGCATATCATACTAACATTTCACCTAATCTTGAGCATACCTTAAAACAGTTCTGGGAACTCGAAGATATCCCAGCCCGCGTTCATCCGAGTCCGGAAAACACCCAATGTGAGGAGCATTTTGTGACGACTCACTACCGCACCATGGAAGGACGCTACGTCGTGCGTCTTCCCTTTAGAAATGGCCCGCCTCGCGACCTTGGAGACTCTCGATTCGCCGCGTTGAAGAGTCTCGAACGGCTCGAACGTCGTTTTCGAACCGACCCATCGTTAGCAACGGAATACACCGCATTCCTTACCGAGTACGCAAACCTAGGTCATATGACTAAGATAAATCCTACCGAATTTCCCGCCCAAGCTCCCGCGTACTACATTCCACACCGTGCCGTGATCCGTGAACATAGCAATACAACCCGACTTTGTGTTGTGTTTAACGCGTCGTGCAACACCGCCACCGGCAAATCATTAAATAGCGCTCTTCATGTAGGAGCAAAATTGCAAACCGATCTAGTAGCGGTCGTCCTCCAATGGCGACAACCTCGATTTGCACTATCAGCGGACATCGCCAAAATGTATAGGCAGATTTTAGTACACCCTCTCGATACGAAGTATCAATGCCTCTTATGGCGATCGTCTCCGACGGCTCAGGTCGACGAATACCGACTTCTTACCGTCACTTACGGCACCGCCGCTGCCCCATTCTTGGCCTTGCGAGTCTTACGGCAATTAGCCGAGGACGAAGGCTCACAGTTTCCGCTCGCGGTACCGGTTCTATTACAGCAAACGTACGTCGACGACTGTACTTTCGGCGCCGACGACCTTGAAACTGCCAAACAAACACGAGATCAGTTAATTTCGTTGCTATCTCGGGGCTGTTTTCGTTTGCGTAAGTGGGCGAGCAATTGCCCTACGCTCCTTGAAGATCTCGATCCTTCCGACCATGGACTCGCAACCAACAAAGATTGGCACGACCACGATTCCATTAAAATTCTCGGAGTTACCTGGAAACCGGAACACGATATCTTCACCTTTCAAGTTTCGAATTTAATAACAGTCGCGAAAACTAAGCGCGGAATATTATCAGTCATCGCGCAACTCTTCGACCCACTCGGGTGGGTAGCTCCCGTTATCGTAACCGCGAAAATTTTCCTGCAGCATCTCTGGTTGACGAAGTCTGATTGGGATGACGAGCTTCCCGCCGAGATGTTGCGCGAATGGGAAACATTTCAATTGACGTTGCCTCTCCTTGAGCAGTTAACTATTCCGCGCTGGACGCAGTATCATCCGAACAACAGAATTGAATTACACGGATTCGCAGACGCCTCCACGCGAGCGTATGCGGCAGCGCTTTACCTTTGTGTCATTTCGGGCGACGGTTGCATTACCAATACTCTGATCCTCGCTAAGTCTAAAGTCGCGCCGCTCAAAACCATTAGCGTCCCGCGTTTGGAGCTTTGCGCTGCGCTCCTACTAGCACAACTCATAGATTTCGCTCGTTCTGCTCTTCACCTTCCCGATATCGATTATTGGTGTTGGAGCGATTCCATGGTCGTCCTCGCTTGGATACGTCAAAGTCCCTCGCGGTGGAAGACGTTTGTCGCGAATAGAGTCTCAAAAATGCAACAGCTTCTTCCCAATGGAAAATGGAATCACGTGCCCACGCACGACAACCCCGCAGATTGCGCATCTCGCGGTACCGACCCTGCCTCTCTTATTAATCACCAACTTTGGTGGCACGGCCCACCATGGTTATCACATTCGTCCGATCAATGGCCAGTCATATCCGACATTCCGGCAACGCATAGTGAATTACGCGATTCAAAAGCTTGCGCGACATGCTCGGTAAACCATTGGGAGCTTGAATCCCGATTTTCCTCGTGGCCGAAATTACTGCGCGTCACCGCGTATATCCTTCGTTTCGTTCGCAACGCTCGTACCCAGACGAAAACACAATGCGATGCCTCTCACTCGCACCCGCATGCTCTCCGGTCCGATGAGCTGGTCGCCGCTCATAATTTTTGGATTCGACGGATTCAACTCAATCTATTTGCTGACGACATAGCTCGCCTAAAACAACTACGTTGCGTCTCAAAAACTAGCCCATTAGCTTCGCTTTCTCCTTACATAGACAGAGACAGCTTGTTACGCGTTCGAGGCCGATTAAAGCACGCAAGCCTGTCAGATGACGCTAAACATCCGCTAATTTTAAAATCACATCCATTGGTCCACCTCCTTATCAAACAGATTCATGTTGCGGCCCTACACGCCGGTCCGCAACTCACACTCACGCTCCTGCGACAACAGTATTGGCTAATTCGCGCTCGCGCCACTGTGCGTACCGTCCTCTACCAATGTATTGTGTGCACACGGGAGAATGCACGCGTGCCCGAACAGCTTATGGGCGACCTGCCGGATTTCCGCGTAAACCCGACTTCACGCGCCTTTAATCATACCGGCGTCGATTACGCGGGTCCGTTACTAGTGCGTACGACTAAAGGTCGTGGTCATAAAGCCCAAAAAGCTTACCTCGCAATTTTTGTATGCATGACCACGAAAGCACTGCACCTAGACGCAGTATCGGATTATACTACCGCTTCGTTCCTTGCCGCGTATCATCGTTTTACCGCACGTCGTGGCATTCCGCATGCAATGTACTCCGATCACGGTACCACGTTTCAAGGTGCCGATCAAGAGCTTACGGCCTCCTTCCATGCAGCCACGCGTGATCCAGCATTTCAAAATTACATAGCTCAAGAAAATACTGCATGGCATTTCATACCTCCCGCTGCGCCGCATTTTGGAGGCCTATGGGAGGCTGCCGTACGCTCTGTGAAACATCACATTAAACGCGCTATTGGAACGCACACCTTAACGTTCGAAGAGATAACCACATTACTATGCCGTATCGAACTTTTCTTAAATTCTCGTCCCATCGCTTCCGTGTCCGACGCTTTAGACGATTATACCGCTCTGACTCCGGGTCATTTTTTGATCGGCGCATCCTTAAGCTCGATCCAGGAGCCGAGCTTACTCGAACTCGCCGAAAATCGTTTATCTCGCTGGCAACTAGTGCAGCAATTAAGCGAACGCGTCTGGAAGGCATGGAAAGATACGTATTTGAATACCTTACAACAACGCCCTAAATGGCGTTCTGTACAAACTCTAGCCACACCCGGTAGATTAGTCTTACTTCGCGATCCACTTGCCCCTCCAAGTCGATGGAAGCTTGGGCGTATAGTTAAATGCCATCCAGGCAGCGATCGGCTCGTTCGAGTCGTTACTGTTAAAACGGCTGAATCCGAGTTCAAGCGCCCCATTACAAAACTTTGTTTTTTTCCGGTCGACATCAACAATGATAGCGAACATCATTCCGCCATGGCGGGCGGCATTGGATTGTAACTGTCCGATTGAATATTGTAAATTTACGTTAAATTTTATTGACCGCAAATATTGTATTCATATCGAATGTCAATCACATTCGAGGCGGACGGTATGTTGACGCATGTCATAAATTTGTATAATCAATAGACTCTTATATTAATCGCTCGTATATCAACGGAAAGGTTCGATCGTTCGAACCGACACACGACAACATTATCGACCTTGTTCACCATCCCATGTGATAAGAGTCACGCTGTCACGTGTACATTTTATTTACTCCTATTCTTTCGTCGCTCCGATTCGCCGAAACAAACATCCGATCCCGAGAAAGAGGGGATTCCGTGACGAAAACTCGGAACGCTCCCGAAAACCGAGAATCAGATCTCTGCGAACCGTGCTATCGATCAGCTGCAAATACAAGTAAACATATATTCGTTGCTGTAATTACTTCCCTCTCGGAGCGAGCCTTCACGAGGCTGTACAAGCCACCAGTCGATCAACAATAAGTTGAATTAGAGCGACGCCGTCGCGCCTACTGATATCGACAACACACTGAAATCCTCATACGACATGTCGGTATTCACGTGATCGTTGTACACGTGCTTCAAATTGGTGGCGTCCTGTTTAAATAGGATTAGCAGGTTCGCGTTGTCGCGTATAAGATGTTTCGGTATTCCCGCGTATGTCTGACAGAGATAGAAGCAGTCGATGTTCGAGTGGCGCCCCATTGAGAAGTACTCTCTTATCGTATCTTGCTTGTCGCATGCCACGTCATCAAAGACAAAAATTGAATTTGGACATGCCTCGCTCGGTGGAATGACGTCATTGTTATTGGAGAATGTAAAGTAGCCGATTTCGTCAATCGGTGTCAATAAATCTTCCAAATAGCGATATTTCGGCTGTTGCAGCGATTTCGAGTACACGTACACGTTCTCAAAACGCACACCGTGCGGACTTTCCAGCAGGCTTATCAACACGTTGGTTTTACCGCAGTTTGAGGGGCCGCAAACGATCGCGCGTATAGTTGTCGGTAGCATCGTACCGTGTTTGCGCACACCTTCGTTCACGCTGCAGCGTACTCTGTCGTCGTAATTCATCACTCGTATCGTCAGAGGTTGTCGCACGAATTTCATTTTCTCACTCCCGATTTGACCTCCAACGTCCGCCTATTTATAGCTGCGCGGACTCGCGCTTTGCTCAGTAATGTCTAGAGATTGCAACGGATGTCAACGAAAATAGGCACAGGTCTATTAAATCGTGCGATAAACGCACTTCCGGTCGAGCTTCATATCCCCGGCTATCAATTTTGCGGCCCGGGAACTCGTTTGGAAAAGCGATTGGCTAGAGGTGATCAAGGTGTCAACCCATTGGACGCGGCGTGCCGTGAACACGATATAGCGTACTCTCGGAGCAGCGAACTCGCCGAGAGACACGCGGCGGATAAGGTACTCGCCGAGAAAGCGAAAACTCGCATCGTCGCGAAAGACTCGAGTCTCGGTGAGAGAGCCGCGGCCACAGTTGTCTGGACAGCGATGAAGGCCAAGACGAAGCTCGGCATGGGCTTGAAAACGAAAAAGAGGAAGACGAAGAAGAGGGTACTTTCGGCAGCGAAACGAGGCGGATTTTTGCCAATTTTACCAATGCTGGGCGCGCTCGGATCCCTGGTTGGCGGAGCGGCTGGCGTAGCAAAAGCGGTAAACGACAGAAAAGCCGCGCAACGTCAGTTGCAAAAGATACTACGCCACAATCGCGCCATGGAAGGCCGCGGACTGTATCTCGCCCCTTACAAATATGGACGAGGAGCGAAGAAAAAAAAAACGTCAAAAAAACGTTAAAAATGCCGAAAGGTGTAACTACAAATGTGCAATTGCTACAACTTGCAAAACGTATGCACATTCCATACTTTAGAGGTGTATTTATGCGCAATAATTTACCGATAAATGGCGCGCGAGAAAATGAGAGTGGTATCGTTAATCTAGACAGTACAGACGGTCCTGGCACTCATTGGGTGGCGTATGCAAAAAGAGGAAATCGCGCAATCTATTTCGACAGTTTTGGCAATCTTCGACCACCCGAGGAATTGGTGCGATATTTAAATGTGCCGAAATTGGAATACAATTACACCTTTTATCAAACGTATGATCAGAGTATCTGCGGACAGTTGTGCTTGCAGTTTCTCCGAGAGATTGAATTTTAGTTCAACTTGCAGCGAATTTAAAGACTGACATTGCGCTATTTCACTCAGTTTTGTCAACATGTCGCTAACACTAACATTGACTGGGAAGAGTAGCGTTCTCGCGGCGACCTACTTTCCGCCCATAGATTTGAGCGACGCGGACTACGAGCTCGGTCTGACGGATTTTGAAACTTATCACACTATATCGAATGTGAATTCCTCGAATAATAAATTTTACTACGGCACAGACGACGCGGAAATTACGATTCCCGAGGGATCGTACGAGCTGCAAGCGATACATGAATTTTTGAAACGTGCACTTTCCCGAAAACATAATGCTGTTAGCGATAAAGGTGTCGACGATGAAGATTACCCAATCGTGCTCCGCGCTAATTACAATACGATGAGAAGCGAGATCAAGTGTGCCTACAGAATAAACTTTAGCATGCCCAACAACATTGGATCGCTGCTGGGATTCTCGAATCGTATACTGCAACCGCGAAAATGGCACAAATCGAACATGGCGATTAATATTATCAACGTGAACATTATCCGCATAGAGTGTAACGTGACCGCGGGTGCATACAGCAACAATAAACTCGTTCACACGATACACGAATTTTCACCGAGGGTACCACCAGGATATAAGATATCGGAAACGCCGGCGCAGATCATTTACCTGCCGGTCTTCGTACGGAGCATTACTGATTTAGTGTTACGCGTTACTGATCAGGAGGGACGATTGCTCGATTTTCGAGGTGAAGAGATAACAATTAGATTGCACGTACGACGGCGGGCCACCCTCGTGCGACGGGATGCTCGTGTTGAATAAAGACACGAAGAACACAATCAGACCAGCAGCAACATCATTCGCTAATATCAAATCAACTACGAAGAAGAGACTCACCTCGTCAAACGTTGCGTTTTTACAATCTTTGGGATTTGCGGTGCGCGCCATCTGAACAATGACTGAGATTCTCAACATCGAGGAAGAGCCAGTCTTTGACGATCGCATCGTCAAGATTGAGACTCACACATACAACCCGTTTGCCAACACAACATTTGGATACAGCGACGAGATAAGAATACCCATACAACAACAGGATTTATATACATTGCCGTATGAGAGTTTCCTCTACATCGAGGGTGAACTGAGGATAAATCATCCAGTTGAGGGATCCAATGTGATGCTGGGAAATAATTGCGTCGCATTCATGTTTGACGAAATTCGCTATGAGCTCGATGGTGTGGAGATTGATCGCAACAGGAATGTGGGAATAACAAGTCTGCTGAAAAACTATGTAACAATGTCATCCGATAGAAGCGTGATTATGCGAAATGCAGGCTGGGATAGCCCGACTACTGTGAATGGATACTTTAATTTTTGTGTGCCGCTGCACATGTTGCTGGGATTTTGCGAGGATTACAAACGCGTTGTTATTAATGCGCGTCATGAGTTGATCCTAATACGAGCGCGCAACGACAATAATTGCCTGTATGGAGATTCTGCACGGGAGCCTGTGATCAACATATTCAAGATACAATGGCGAATGCCACACGTGTTGTTGAGCGAGATTAAGAAGTCGATGCTGCGCGCTCTGGAAAGCGGACGTTACCTCAGCATGGGTTTCCGCTCGTGGGATCTATACGAATTTCCGCTATTGCAGCGTACGACCAAGCATTCGTGGGCCATTAAGACCGCTACTCAACTGGAGAAGCCGCGATATGTAATTTTTGCTCTGCAGACGGGGCGTAAAAATGTCATGTCCGAGGATACGAGTCGATTCGACAACTGTAAATTAACCAACGTGAAACTCTATCTAAACTCGGAATGTTATCCGTACGACGATATGAATCTGGATTTCGATAGAAACAGATGGTCGATTCTGTATGACACGTATGCGCGTTTCTGCAAAAATTATTACGGATACGAGTATCTCGAGCCGAGCCTCACCATCACGCGGTTTTTACAAAACGGTCCGTTTGTGATTATCGATTGTTCTCGACAAAACGAATCGGTCAAGAGCGCAACGGTGGATGTGAGATTGGAATTTGAGTGTAAGGAGAATATACCTAATAATACCACTGCGTACTGCCTCATCATGCACGATCGCGTGATCCAGTACAACCCATTGACCAACGTTGTGCGCAAAATCACCTAAAAATGTTTACACAAATACGCGTGTGAAAGA